TTATCTGGCTAATTAAGTAATCCTGCTTCGTGAAACAGGCCCCAGGTCTCAGAGAGAAAGAAGAAGTCAACATTGTTATCTATTATTAGTTTATGGAGTAGAAATGACTATAGTGGAAACGGAGCAAACATTCAAAAGTGCACAGTTTACAAGTTGTGGTTTGAGTGAAGTCTGGGGTAGAGTACAGAGATGGTTAAAATTAACAGCATGCTGGGTACAGGTAGTTGGTCGATGGTGAGTTGTCCAGAACGTGCAGATGTTGGTATTGTCATAGCAGTGAAAAGGCCTATAGTGCCTCGAGCTATGATGAATATAACGACGCCGGCGTAAAATGCCTGCTTGGCAAGCAGCGGAGGCAGCTTCTCTAGGGATTCGGTGGTTGCTATTAAGACATTTGAGGTCTGCGGCGGAGTACTTGTAAAATCGTGGAGCAGCTCGGAGAAGTGCAGTTGGCAGGGAAATTAAGTACTCGATGCAGGCTGCGAATATTTGCGACTGGAGGAGTCCAGTAGCAGCATTTCAAGTGGTACTGAATAGTAGGAGAAGCTTAGGCCAGTACACTCAGTTCAGTTAGTGCTGATCTGCCCCTGATGTCGGAGCCAATTACCAGAGAAGCCGACAGCGTGCGACGCTGAACACGGTAGACTGTTCCAGACGAAAACCAGAATCGCAACGACGAGAAAGAAAGCCTCACTCACCGAACTGCAAAGTTGCCCACCGAGCTCCAGTTGGAGAAGTGGAGACTTCTCCTCAGGACGAGGGTTAGGAGGGGGTGCAGTCCACAGACAGTGCGCCGCGCAGGAGGTCAGGGCATGTAGGCACATGAACAGAGGAAGAAATAGTCCAGGGGAGAAATCCAGAGATGCAAGGCAGACTCCAGGAGTAGCCAGTCTAGCGTATTTAAAAAATAAGTCCAGTGGAGATAGTCCAGAGAAGAGGCATCAACGACGACGTGCAATCATGCGGGACAAGCCAGAGGAATGAATGGAGGTTTCTTTGAATTGATCGTAGCAGCCAGAACAGTGGATCCGCGGAGAGTATTCAGACAAAAAGAAAAACTGACAATCACGATTTTCTAGATAAATAAACAAAAGACGAATTTAGACGCAGGGAGAAGCGGCAGCCAAGACAGACGCCAGCAGTGCTCTCACCCAGAAATGATGAATTGAACTGACACCTTTGCAAAAACAGCCCTTCACTGTGTTTTGTATTGTCCTTCAATTACCTACTATTCGATTAAACACCTGATTTCACTGAATGAAAGTGATTCATTTGGATTAATTAGACATAAAAAAATTGTGAGATTAATTCAACTATATTGTGTTCTCAGAACACAAAGATAATGCATCAACTTAAAAAGAGTGTTTCATTTTCAAAATACTCATTCTATTTGGGTGGAACCACTGTACATGATTCAACTGAGCTCATTCAAAGTGACTTTTTTCAGTGTAGTTGGTTGAAACAAAACCTTGGTCTGGATTTGTACTTTCTGGACCTAAACTTCCCACTTCTGTCTCTAATGGATGACTTATGTGTAACTTCCAGAGGTGTAAAGTTCAGGTCCAGAAACTACAAATCCAGAGCAAGGTTTTGTTTCAACCAACCAGCTGAGCACTCTGTGACTGTGATTCTTTATACTCACGGGGTTGGTTGAAACAAAACCTTGCTCTGGATTCGTACTTTCTGGATCTGAACTTTCCACCTCTGGTAACTTCCCTGATACTACATAGACAGTTAGGCAAATGTGAATTAGCTGGGATTTATTGCCATTGTCTATATGCAAAATTCCAGTAATTAGATGTTGCTTTCACCGTAAGAAATTATTAATGCATCAAAAAACATCGCATTATAAACAACCGGCGAAGGTAATTTACAGAAAAATTCAGTTAAATAACAGTCTCATAATGAGGATTCTGCTATCAAATAATGGCAGTGGTGGTCTGATGATTGCGGCTGGGTGCTTGTGATTGGAAGTTTGCTGGTTTGAATTCCCCAAACAGCATTGTACCATTCCCATGCACTGGTCCCTGGGTGCTAAATGATAGTGGCTCACCACTATGTTAAATGCTGAGGACACATTTCATTGTGGTGTGCCAACAATGACAATTTTTCACTTAACTAATATTGTTTGTTTGAAATTGAATGGGATTTGATGGACAATAACTGATAATTGGTTGTAAGTATTACTGAAAGAACTGGTTTATAGCATAATTGTCATGCTAGAAATTGTCAGCAGAAATACGGTGTTGAATTTACTGGTTTACACTGTAATTTTGTAACCTTTTTGGAACTGTAAACACTTCCAGGTAGAAGCCAGCATGAATAAAATACTGTAACCCTGTGAGGGGGCCTGAGCACATGGGAGATTCATCCCTTTCTAACTGTATCCCACCAGGCAGTTTAATAAATGTCAGGACATCAGCGTCTGCTCTCTCTCTTTCTCCTGCACCCCACACACCTGACTACTCCAAAAACAGTGCAGAGCAAAGGCAGGAAGCTCCAGTTACACTTGGACTTTTGCTTGGATATGGTCAAGTAAAGAAAATCAATGCAAATATAAAGGCACAAACATACCTTTTAATGGTTAAATATAAATAGAATTGTCATTATTTTCAGATGTAATTTTCTATTATGCTTAAGTGAATTTCTATTTGATCACAATATTTTATTCATGCTGGCTTCCACCTGGACGTGTTTACATTAGGGCATTTAAGTCCTTTGTTCCATGGATTTTGGGCCATGCATCAGAAGAAATCTCATCCATTTTATATCTAATACAGAAATTAACATAATAAAATGTATATAATACAACATTTCTATACAATGTTCTATGGTGTCTAAGGATTAAGAATATTTTTGTTTGTAAGCTATAGAGACGGACAGAGATAATTCAGAATTGGGAGTCGAAAAACAAAGGGCAGGCCTTCTGTCTAGGCATCAGGTCAATATCAGAAGCTGCCGAGCAAAGCAGTAATTGGATTTGGCTGAAGAGAAAGGATCCCAACTGGGCTGCAAAATGAGGAGCAAAGGGGTAAAAGCGGAGGAGAGCAGACTTGGGACGACAGATGTCACGGCTGATCCCTGAGGAGGTGTTGTGGGCCTATTAAAGAAACAGTGATGAAGCAGGATGCCCACCTGATGACCCCAATTACGTGACAATCCCATCCCCAATCAAGAAAGTGCCAGATATTGGGATTGTAACACCAAGTCCTATGAGCTGGACTGGCTCATTTTCTGATAAAATACACACATACTATTACTGAAACTGATATGTACTTTCTTCAAAGTGGTAACAAGTCAGCCGAATCGTGTTCAGTTAATATGAATCGAAAGCCAAATGAAGTTCTGAAGGTAATCCTTGCTTAATGAGTCCCCCTACAGGCGCAATCGCGTCATTGCATTCGGCTGCACAGTGTTTAAGGTGGACCGGAAAATACGAATAAGGAGCTGTGAATAAGGAGCCAACTTCAGCCTCGTCAAGCAAAGACACAACATGCAGAGAAACGAGTGGAAACACACTGAACAGCTTCGTCTGTAAACTTAACTCATTGTAGACCTCGTTTACCATAACTAATGGGGAATCACTAAATTACTATCTGAAATGGTGGGATGTAATCATTTCTTGTCTATCTATTTTCATGAAGATTATCTTGTTATTTGATTGTGCATACTGCAACTAGCTTGGTTAGTTACTGTAATAGAATTCACAATTCCGGGGTTGCCAACTCTCATGTGCCGTGACAGTCACACTTTCAGACTCACGCAGGACTCTCCCCCAAGAAAGCTTACGCCAAATCTATTATTCACATTCCATGTGCATGTGTGTGCAGACTTGTCTCAACCTGAAAATCTCACTTCAGCCAGCTGACAAAAGTTGGCAACCCTGCAATTAGCATCACACTGTGTTTGCTGTAAGGACAAAATGCTTATGAAGCCTGTAAAAAGGGGGGCCGACCTGGCATTTATTTGGGAAAACACCATAAAGTAAGTTACTCAGTTACCAGAAACTCAGAATCATTCCGTTCATAAACAGGGCTGCCAGAAAGTCCCTTTTATTGCTAAGAGATTCAATAAATCCCTTTTATTTACTTGTATGGGTCTCTAGGAGAAGATCTATTCACTATTTTATGTGGTTTGTGGTTGTGCCAGTGATGCTTTCAGTTACGATGAGTTTATGAGAGAAGACAGGGTGCAGGAAAGTAACAGCGGTATCATAGCTGGACCCTGAGGTGAGGTCATTCATGGCGGAATTTCTTAATTTTTGCATGATTGTAATAATTCCTGCAAATTCAGCATATATAATGCATGACATTACCGCACTTAAACTGCCATATAGGTAAATATGAATATAAATGAAAATGGAAAGAATAATATCATTTTATCCTTAGTCCTATGTTAGTCTTCTGTTCCTATCTCTTATGTTAGACGGGTCGGTGCCAACCCGTGTCATAAATCAGCCATAAAATACCCTCAAAACAATTATTTATCATCCAATTTGTTTCTTACCTCTTGGTTACCTTGTTAGGCTTCCTAATCCATGAAATAATTTGTTTTAATATTTTTGGTGCGGTTTTCAGGACCTTTGTTTTGACAGCATACCACTTGTTTTTAATAAAAAAATAATGGTAAAATATACCTCAAGAGAATTATATAAATAAACTGAATTGGTCTAATCTTGCCTTACATGTATTGGAATGCCTTGCCTTGATTTTGTTTTAATTTATTTTGTTTAAATAGAAGTGATGCAGTACACAAATTTATGTGGTGCTTTTATGCATTTTAAACGTAAAAACGGGTTGGTGCCGACCCTAACACCACAGGAAGATTAAATATTGTGATTGTAGCAGCAATAATTTAGGAATAAAGAAACGAACATACACAGCACCACACAGTGATGTCACACCTCTGACCCTGATATACTCGCCTCCCCCAATGTTAATAACAAACCTACGCCCCTTGTTCCATATGTTTTAAGCCATATAACTGAAAGGCTCACTTGCCTGCTTCCTGTATTTCCACCCGTGTTTCACGTTGCTCCTGCTCTGTGTAAACCACACACTTGTACACTCCTGCATCTGCAGTCCTCACACCCTCAAGCAGCAGAGAGAAGTTGCCTTTGGGGATTTCCTGAGAGAAGAAGTGCGCTCTGCCCCTGTAGGCATCCCCCTGTGATTCAGGTCTGCTCTGACCCCCCTGGAATAGGTGCACGATGGTGTCTGAATCAGTCTTTCTCCAGTCCACCTCCAGCTCCTCCAAAGGCAGGGGTCTGTCCACGAAACAGGGCAGCAGTACAGCTCCTGTAAGCCGGGCTGTTAGAGGACCAGCAGAGCCGTGTAGCAGGAAACCTACGGCAGAATAAGAGATATAAAATAACTTTATGACAACAAAGTGTTAAATAATAAGAGCAGAACATACATTGCAATGCAGTTACTTGAATATTAGCTAAGCAAATATTGGTATAATAATTAGTACACCCAAAAGAAGAACAATTCAATTAAATTTCTTCAACATTATTATACAAGTTACCAGACACATAAAACTGCCTTCAAAATGTACATACCAACAGAGTTAATGACGAACTTGAACATGATCAAAATAGCGCTGAAAGTTTTGATTTGCATCACCACCTTTATTGTTGTACAAAGAATTGTTTCTATGATACAATGGGAAATTTCACTATATATATTTTCTTTTTTAATAAACAGCCTATATGCGCTTTTATTAACACAGTTACATCCCTACATGAAATGCCAGTTTTCTGGCCATACTTTTACTTTCAGTTCACACCTGGAGCTGAAACACGCCCAACACACCTGCATTACGGCAAAGGGTGGATTGCATGGCTGTTTTTCCCTGATCAAATGCAAATCACTTAAGTCATGCTTAAGTGACTGATTGTTAACTTAGATGAAACGTTTGTTATAACATGTACAAAAATATACAAAACCAAGAGGGTACAGAAAGCAGGTTTAGCGAGGAATCCCTAATTAATAGCTAAAACATGGGCAATTCCCAATTCAGAAGCCGACATTTTAACAAACATATAATTTCCATAATATTTCGCTTTTAAGTGGTCCGATCATTGGTGACATCACACAGATATAGTGTAACACCAGTGACTGTAACACTGTAACAGCGACATTCTGTTTAATTGCTGGTCCCTGGGGAGTAAGGTGAACTTCTGCAACTATTTATAATCAGTGATATAAAAGCTATATGGGATTATTTTAACAAAATTTCAAGGACCCAACCCTTATAGTGATGTGTATATGTTATGTGATGCCTGAGAAATAAAATAAAATGAGTATTCCTTCAGATGCTTCCTCTGTGATGACCCTTGACCCAAGGAAACAATTTAAAAGAGCAAGAACCACTATGTTAGAGTATGAGTCACAGTAACACCAATGACCAAAATCTCTGTGAAAAACGTATCTTTAAAATTAATTACGTATTTTAAGTGTAGTATAATGTTAATGATGGATATATGAAACATTGAACTCTTTTATATACAGTCATGTGAGAAAATTTGGATACCCTATGAAAGCCTGTATATTTTAAAATACTGTATATTTGGACATGGATGGATATTTAATATCAATTTTAATGATACTGAGGGATCCAAATAATATAACTAAACAATAATAAATAAAAAATAAGGAAAGCCTTTGTAAAACTTTCTGTGAAATGTAATTTAAAAAGAATGCAATTTCTGGTGAGGAATAAATTAGGACACCCCCACATATTATCCCACTTAAAATGGTTAAAATCACACACAGGTGTATCACGTCAGGTGCACATGATCAGTACATCATTACCCAGCATTTTAAAGGAGCCTTGCCTTATTTAAATCTCAGATTTAGTTTGGTGTGCTACTGACTGTTGAAGTGTTGAAGTGAGTGCCATGGTGAGATCTAAAGAGCTGTCTGATGCCCTCAGAAAGAAGATTGTGGCCGCTTATGAGTCTGGTAAGGGATTTAAAAAGAATTTGACATCAGCCATTCCACCATCCGGAAAATCGTTTACAAGTGGAGGACATTCAAAACAACTGCCACCATGCCCAGGTCTGGCCGTCCAAGCAAATTCACCCCCAGAGCAGACCACAAGATGCTCAAAGTCATCAAAAATCCTAAAATGTCATCCCGGGAACTATAGCAGGCTCTGGCTACTGTCGATGCATGACTCTACTATCAGAAAGAGACTACACAAGTTTGACTTTCATGGGAGGTGTGCAAGGAGGAAAGCTTTGCTCTCTAAGAGAAACATTAAGGCCAGACTTAAGTTTGCCAGAGCGAATGTAAACAAAGACCATGACTTCTGGAATAATGTTCTTTGGACAGATCAGTCTAAAATTGAATTATTTGGACACCAGAACAGAAGACATGTTTGGTGTAAACGAAATTCAGCCTTCCAAGAAAATAACCTCATACCAACTGTGAAGCATGGAGGTGGCAGTATCTTGGTTTGGGGCTGCTTTGCTGCAGCAGGACCTGGCCAGCTCACCATCATACAATCCATCATGAATTCTGTCAGAGGGTGCCTGAAGAACATGTGAAATCATCTGTAAAAAAATTAAAGCTGAAGTGGAACTGGACACTGCAACATGACAATGACCCAAAGCATACCAGCAAATCCACCAAGGACTGGCTAAAAACTAAGAAGTGGAGAGTCCTGGAATGGCCAAGTCAGAGCCCTGATCTTAATCCCATTGAGATGCTGTGGGGTGACTTGAAACGGGCTGTACATGCAAGAAACCCCTCAAACATCTCAGCTGAAAAAATTCTGCATTGAGGAGTGGGGCAAACTTTCTTCTGATCGATGTCAGAGACTGGTAAAAGGCTACAAAAGACATCTCACTGAAGTTATATCAGCCAAAGGGGGCAACACTAGTTATTAGGGGGTAGGGTGTCCTAACTTTTTCCTCCATTAAAATACACATTTTTGTTCATATCTTTTTTTTGATGTGTAAAAAAATGTTAATTTTTGTTGTTTAATTGCAATTAAATCCATTCCCCCCCCCCCAAATACATAAAAACATGATTGGACGTTGATATGTGAACATTTCTTAATAAAGAGCTGATTATTTCATGGGGTGTCCTAATTTTCTCACATGACTGTAATTAGTTATACTTTTTAAAAAATATTGTTTTATATGAATGGTTTCTCAAACTTTTACATTTGGTGGAGCCGATATTGGCAGACCCCCGCCCCCTTTCCCAAAAAGTAAAGAAATAAATGAGAGTGTGTTCCTTATCTTTCACTATGAATCTGAGCATTACTGAGGCCAATTTGCTGTGTATGCAGAGTACAAGGACAAAACATATACCTAATGAAGACTGTAGGTCTGTTTCAGACATTATCTTTGAATCATATGGATCTGTTATATTTTTAGTGGAAGTTATGTTTAGTTGTGAAACTGTACCCTAAATAATGTTAGTCTTATTTTAAATGATGAGTTTAAAATCTTTTTTTCATCACCTGCTGTTATGATATGACTATTGCATGTGTAACCATTGTGATGTCACAATATACATCACACCCCCAACCCCCCCCTCAAAAAAAAAAATAAAAATTTGACCACCCCCATTTTAACACTGAACCCGCTTTCTGGATTACTTCCCACAAGGGAATTGGAATTTTCCATCCATTTTCAATTCGATTCCTAACTGGCTCCTAACTCTACACCCCAACTCTCAGCTCTGTATTGGTAACATCAGGTCTGCTTGTTTTGTTAGTAATTTTGTTAGTAAGACGTCTGTCTTTGTAACTCCTGATAACTTTCTCCAGTATACAGTTATGGCATTTGGACTAAAAATGCACCACCAGAACATTTCAAAGGTTAGTGAACACTGTATTAGCTAATGCTCCGAATTGTTGGGCATAACCGAATGACTTAGAGTTCACAGATTGGCCTGGTCCTTTAAAGCCTTTGAGAACAGTATTTAAAAGACTAACTAGTACCTAATTAAGCTAAAATCTCACCACTGTCTTAACCCTGTTCATGGCTTTTAGTGTCTCACTTTGGTTTTATCCAACCAGTCCGTCTGCAGCCTCACCTGTTACCCATCCTGAGCCTATGTTTGTGTCCCAGGGCTTCTCTCACTGGGTACAAAGCCAGGGTACACCCTGGGCAGGATGCCAGTGTCCTGCAGGTTAAATTCACACAAATGCACACACGTAATTATAACTTAGAGACACCAGTTTGGCTGACTGCGTGTCTTTGGACTGGTTGAACTGGTTATCTTTTGATTCTCATTGGGTGATTTTTTATTATGGCTACACAAGGCAAAGTCAAGTGATACACATTCAGTCACTTTACTGGCATCTGTGTCAAGTTTTGTTTTTCTTTCGCTGAAGAAAAATGCAACCAGAGCTGACACCCAATTCCTGTTGTCACTGTGAGAGAGTTTAGGTACTTTATCTTTCACAGTGGGGTAAATACAGAAACAGGTAGTCTAGCTTAATCACTACATGTCAGAATGAAAATGGAGGAGCTGAAGACTGTGAGCACTGAGCATTTATACAGAATGTTGGTAATAACACCATACATTTCAACACTGCAAACAACACTGCAAAGGTGATTCAGATAATCATCATTTGATATGCAGATATTTACTCAGGAAGGATTCTGGAATGTTGCCCTGAAACCAATTTTCTTGTGACTAACTTTCCAAGTAATACATTGTTTCACTATGCAGCATCTTTTCAAATGAAGTAAACAAGCTTTTATGTTAACAGATATTCTGAGGCAGATATGAAATGGTGACAAAGTTTCATGTATGAACAGCATAATATACAGAATTCAGTTCAGACGAAACAGGATAATCTGAAAGTCCCCATGATGCTCTTCCCAGGTTTATGCTGGTTTCAAGTAGAGTTACTGGTCCTTCCCAGTATGTGTCTGTAAACCAGCTGCACAAGCAATTTTTCATCTGCTACCCAGTAAAGTCAATGTCCTATTTTAACTTAGCCTGACAATGTTTAAATTACAGTGTAGTTGTAATAAATTAAAAATATGATTTAATTAAACATGTATTCCATGTAACCATTACATTTCCTGCCAACTCTGCCCTCTAGAGTTTATTTACCTGATCTGCAGTTAATGTGATTTATTAGGATCAGTGGGTAATGATGCCTCCATTTCCTGTTTGTCATGTGATCTCTGCATAAAGTGTCACTATTAGCTGAGACATTTCAAATGAGCAGTCTTTGTCAAGCAAGTAATGCAGGAAGCTACACACACAATGCAGGGAGCAACAAAGGACAGGGCACCAGCCCACAGCAGGGCACATACACTATTCACACCTATGGACAATTTGGCACCACCAATTCACCTTAACATGTCTTTGCACTGTGGGGCAGACTCCTGACTCAAACCCTAGTTCAGGAGGTGATACCAGTGCTGAGCACTGGCGATCGTGCCACCCAGTATGTAACTGGACAAGAAGTAAGGACAAGGGATCTGCAAGACAAGTCTGACAAGATGTATGG